AGGTTAGTTACTCACCACAAATTTATTATTTGTGTAATAAGAAACCAAATTAATTAGATAGTGGGCAATGCATCTTCCTAGTTGGCATTAGTTAGTTGAAAACCCTTGTACATGTTCTAGTATTCCTATGCCATACGGCGGCCATCTTGGATTTTTCAATAAGTCCAAGGACACTAGTTTGTTATCTGACAAATATGCATAATATGGGTAATAAGGATGTGGAAAACATTGAGAAAATACTTAATTTGATTAAAAATCAACATAGATATGTATATATTTCTACAAAATTTCACAAATTGGCGGCCATTTTGGATTTTTTGGCCAAACGGTAAATTTTTTCCGTGGGCTACGGCTCTAATTTGATTTAGTATGTCAAAAGGTACCCACATGCAAAATTTGGTGCTTTTATCCGCTGTGTCACGATTTAGCCATTTTTTTGCCCTAAGCAACCGGACTAAACGATACGGAAAATTTTAGGCTTATGTTTAAGAATTTTCATGTATATCCAACAACCAAGCTAATGAACATTTTTTGCTAATTTCTCTTTTCTTTCAAATCTCAACTTGTATATCACGTATTTATTCATAAAATACATTTATTTAAACAAACAAACTTATAACAGTTTTTTTAATTGATAAAGTAAAAATCCTTCAAAATTGGGTGGGTAGGAGGGAACATTCTCTGCTTGTATCACGGAAAGCGAAAGAGTCTTCGAATGACCCAACTCTATAATCTGCTTTTCCTCATCACTTTCTATTTGATAACACCACTCTAGTGACCAGTCACATGATACTAACACTACTCAGACCGTACTGGACAGTTCACGCAGAAACATAGCACGTGTCTGCGTACCCACAACAAATATATTGACATTTTGTCTCTTTTTCACACAGTACACTTTGAATTGTATGCCCACCGTGTTCGTGTCTATCTTGGCTTTCTCCGTCCCAAATGTGCGCACGAGATATACTAGTAGCATAGGTGTTGCGCTTACCTCCATGTACACCCTGATTGTAGTGCATCCCGATCTGGCTCACCAAATAGGGAGATATTGTTCACTGTGGGAGAAAGCACGCCTATGACGCAGGGTGCAACAGTGCATCGTAATTCCAAGTTAATACTGATGATCTGTCTCCCTAAGGGATCAATAAAATTTATGATACGATCTAGGCGCCTACAATTATTTCATTATTATTATTAACAAAAGCACATTAAAAATCTTCCCTACATCTTCCCTACATCTTCCCTACTTCAATCCTTCACAAGTGGGAAGTTTACATCTGTTTGCACACGACGTCAGAAAACCTAGACTGTGATTTACCTGTAGGCCTAAACAATTTGCATCATGGGGGTGTAGAGACAAATGTAAACTGTAGGCTAATGTGAAAAAACGAACTTCGTAAAAGCACCCGGATTCATTTATAGTATGAAATTGGCCTTTTAGCCACCGGAGAGCGAAAGCGCCGAAGATCGAGTTCTGCCACGCCCACCACATTGTGACACCGAGGATTTCAAGATCGACATGGTGCCTTTGTCCGATTGTGCAGTGCAAGTTGTGGTCCATGAAAATTGGAAGTCAGTACCGTCCAATCAGGTGCGTCTGCGCACGCGTAGACCCTATCTGTTTGTCTGTCTCTGTGTCTGTCTGACACCCGTTTCATTATTTTTCACAATTGTTTGTATCCACCTATGTGTATTTCATGCACATATATCAGTTAATCAGTATTGCATTAACATTTTAACTTTTTATTCTAAAGATATATAATGGTTCATAATCGTTTACTTTATTATGTATTTCTACGATTTGTGTTGTAGCATTTGTAGATTTGTCTGCATAACAGGTTCGAGGTCGGTCCTTTTTTGCTACCGGTACCTTAAGCGGGGTCTAATTGTATTGATACCGTCGTTTCCTTGTAATGTAATGTAATGAAATGTAATGTAATGTAATGTAATACAACACGATATCATACAATACGGAATAAACTGTCTTCTTTCAGCCTAGAGACGGCGACATTGTGTCATTGTGGTCAGTTATGTCCAATAAAGGAGATGGGTTCCTACAGGTGACCAACGTGAAAGTGGACCCGGACAAAGACGAGTACGTTGTTAATATGGCCGGAACATTGGACGCTGTCAAATTATTGTTTATGGAATGCTTTTTATGTCCCTGCCTATTTTCAAGAAGTAAAAACAGTGAGATAACTCTTAAAGTGTGTACATCATTTTAAGGCTTGATGTACCTGTATATGCATTGATATAAAAAGTTTTTTTCCTTTACCTATGTTTGTAGTCTTTTTGATATCGCTTAACTTGATTAGGGTATTTCTCTTCACATACATTTTATATCAAATGTGTCCAAGGCTGAGACAAATGTCAATGTATGCATCCTCCTTTTTCAGCGAAATTTACTTGGCAGAGCAATTTTCCTGCAGTTTCTCGGGAGAGAGATTTTCCTACAGATGTGCCATCGTATGTACCGTATAGCTAAAAAAAAACACGACTATTGGTACGCGTATGATTGATAACTGATTTAATTCTCGTAAGATTACCATCCGCCCCCTTCCTTATGAATAGGTATTACTTTATTAACACAATGCAACCGTCGTGTAGCCGCATGTAAGAAGACAATGTTTGATTACGCACAGCAGTAGGAGGCCGCTACCCCTTCCCAGCAAGGAGTCAACACAGCAGCGCGTAACCCGGGGTTAATTAGGGGTTATTAGCTGTCCACTTATGATCGGTATTGTTCGTCTTGATTGCAGCACACTTCCTACTCACTATTGGTTCGACCGCCTCTTCTTTAAATGCTCTCTCAAACCTTTCCTCAGTCAGCCGAGAATGGAAACACGTTTATCTGCCGATAAACTACGTCGTTGATGTATTATTCGGCATCATTCTACAGTGGGTCATAAGGCTCTATCTATCATTTTTTTCGTCTCGCATTTTACCAGATTAAGCTGACGCTCGAAAACTAAATTTAATGAATAATTTTCTCACGTGCACCGTATCCAGCTAATTTTACGACAATAACTACCACGGCACCTCCGCCATTTGCAATTGTAGACGAACCACGTGTTTCCAACTGATAGGCCAATACAACTATACCAGACCCATTGTACGAGAAAAGACCGTTTATATTTAATGAATTAAAAAACATTTGAGGATTGCGATTTTCTATTGATATACTATCGATGGTATCCCTGTATTAAATCATCCACTGCTACCCCCTCTTTTGTAGTGTAGCATGACTCGTATCACAAGATGGCCTTAGAAATGAAGTAAGACAGGCCTACACTCTGATAGTTTTTAGTCTATTATTAACCCTAATGTCGTTGCTTGTCATTCATTCTAGAACTCTCTGAGCCATCGCAAAATTATTTGCCAGGACATTTAAAGGCTACTTCTTAACGGATTTTTTTTTATTTGCACTGAGTCCAAAATGTTCGAGGACGTCTCTGTCGTTATCGCCGTTTCTCGGACGCAGTCCCAGACAAAGGATCGGAAAGTTTCTAAATAAAAGAACTTATAAATGCTGCCACTAGCCATCCTTATTGTTCCTAAGTAAAGAGAGGCGATAATGATCTTTTCTTTCTTCTAGCTTAGTCTGTCGACTAAAATGAACAAGGTTAGGCCTACAATGCAACCACCTATTATTACGACCATTAATGAGGTTCTTTGCTACACTCCCTTTCTTCATGATCGCGAAACCAGTGGGGTGCTGTGTTTTAAATATATAAAAAAGGGTCTCGCGAGGTGAAGCTATAATAATGAAATAAAAAAATCCAATGAATAGGCCTATCTAATAAACCATGAAGCACGTAGTCTAGGCCTCTTCTTTGACCGACATCACATTTTTACATTCTTTGTTTTAATAAGAGGACGAACGTGGTCTAATTTGTCTTTTGGTGGTGTGTGATTTTGCTCGAAGTAGCGGAGTCAAGTAAATCGGTGATTTACCGTTGGTAAGAGTAGCGATCATCGCTCCTGCGTCCTCATAGATTACTTTCTAATCACCCGTAATTAACGCAGTCAGGAATAAGCGCTCAAATAGGGGTTTTTGTATCAGGGAAAATTTTAGTATTAATCTTATGTTATTATGTATCTGTATTATGTAATCATGTAACTCATTTTCCCAAGGCAACCACCAATTATGACGACCATTAATGAAGTTCTCTGCTACACTCTCTCCTCATGATCACTTGCTCGATCGTGAAACCCTGGAGGTGTTGTATATATATTTGGGGTAGTTTACTATAGCATGCTACACTCTCCTCATGATCAGCTGCTCGATCGTGAAATCTGGAGTGAAACCCATGGTTTATCTAACAATGGTTTAAATAAATAAAAAGGGTGTCACGGAGGTGAAGCTGCTTAACTCATAAGAATAACGAACGAAAAAATACGATGAACATTTAATAAACCACGAAGCACGTATGTTTTGACCGTTATCGCCTTTTTTACATAAGATGTCTCAACAAGAAGGCAGATGTAGTCCAATTTGTCTTTTGTTGGTGATTCTGCTTCAGGTGGCTGAGATTAGTTGATCGGTGATGCACCGTTGGTAAGAGTAGCAATCATCACTCCTGCGTTCTAACGGATTACTTTCCAACCCCCCATAATTAACGCAGCCAGGAATAGGCGCTGAAATAGGGGGTATTAAATCAGGAATTAATTTTTGTAATTATGTATCCGTAAAATAAGAATCGTAACATTATCACGTATTTTTCCTGATGGAAAATATCATAATTTATGCACACTGATCGAATTATAAAGAAAATCTCCAGATGTAAACAAAGGTCAGTCAAGTATCACTCATCCCAGGCTGCAGGGCAGATATAGAGAATTGAATGAAGCGCCAGTGATCTGGCAACCCTACAAATTTGTCATAATGATTCATGGGCAAACAATAGAAGCATGAAATTAACACCTTTTACAGTGTGAATGACGACACCTTATGAGGCTTTTGTTTCTTCCCCTGGGTTGGTATTACAAAGTAAGTATGTTGACGTAAGTGTGTTGACTTTTGCATGTTCAAAGGAACAATGGAAATGTCATTTCAAAACAAAGAGCCACATTTCCCTACTTAGGTGGCCAAAATATTGTCAATGAAACGCAAAAAAGACAAAATCACCAGCTGTTACTGACTGAGTCTAACTCAAATGCAAAAAGGTACGCACAGCGACAAAGCGCTATTGTAAACAATGACCCGACGATGAGATCAATAAGATGTATAAAATGACTATTTGTACTATAAAACTGTACCCCTGCCCCTACTTGTATATTATTACACACACAAGGCCACCCTATACCAGAGTTACAGATTGATTTTTCATTACACAGTCTCTTGCACTGAAGAAAAATACTCATAATTAATTTGCGGCCCTAGTAGAGGGTCTTCTCTCGCTTTCTCTCAAATCAAAATAAACTAGCAAACATGAAAATTGGCAAAATGTATTAGAATGTAAAGTGTTGCGAACCCTTTAAACAAGGTGAATGGTAATATGCACGTTTAGACAAATTTTAATTTTAATTTCAATTAAATTTAATTTTAATTAAAATTGATATTACCAAAATTAGTAAATGTCGTTTGCGTCATGTATCAATATTTTTGCGCATAATAGTACCTACGTTATAAACATTCAGCAAAGATATTTGGAAGGCCGCTCTTTTGTTGTTTATATCAAAGGAAAACTATTTGATACCCATCGTATCAATCATTATACCATGATAAGAGATTAGCATACTAATTTATGTCCCCAGTAATAATAACTTTAACAATAACAACAAACCTTCCTACTGTGCTTTCCGTTGCAAAAACAATTAGCCACGACTGTTTTATATATTAATAGATATTTATAATAATGACAATTTCAAAATCTTCAAAAGTACCGACAGGGACACGAACTCCCGTCGGGTAGGTTGCAGACGACTCAACGACGTTAACCGTTGTTCCACCAATTCTATTGTTCACGCATACAGATATCGACAGCTCTGTATTGCCGCGCATGCCGAAGCTTTGCGGAAATTGCCGAAGGCTAGGAAAATTCTTCAAAATATACTTTTATTACATTTAATCAAATCCAGACTATCTCCCACTGCCCTGAGGTATGGCTAAAGGCTTTCAGTTGTCATCAGACTTTGTAATTTGGGAGAAAAAAGTGAAACAGTAACTTCTGGTGATGAATAATAGGTAATAGTGCTGCAAGGTGTTGTTTTTTATCCCTGATGTACGAGTAGCTTTTTCTACAGTTTCTATAATTCTCTTAACGTATGAAAATATGCAGGTTTTCTGATATAATAAGACTTTGATAAAATCAAAACCAATAATACTTTTAAAGTCGAGAGTCGGGATAAATATCGGCAAGGTGGAGATATGTCCCGCCGGCGCTTCCGCAACAGCAAGACTGAAGGACGCAAGTTACAAAGCGAAACATGTTTAGTCAAGTTAAAGACTTAATTACCGGTTTAACTTCGGCGGCAGTGCCTACTGCTGTGAGCAACATGCGCTGTCCATCGTAATCCCCCTATCATTAACACTGTCGGGGACGTGCGCATTAGCGCGTCTGATGTAGACAGCGTGTGCTATTAAAGTGACCGGGGACTTATTAGCTATAGTGTAGTTACCGACCTTGACCCAGTTATCTTGAAAATCCGGGGCTACCAATTTAAGCAAGATGGAGATAACACATGGTATACAATTACTGTGGATGTCGACAAGGTTGTCGCAAAACCTGAGGTAAGATTTGGCCTTCCCTACGTTACGATGAGTTGGAACTTTTGGATAGTCCTTATGAACATGAAGCACACTATAGTTCCATAATTGATAGTACATCGTTGAAGTTGATAACAAAGCACATTAAGGGATGACCAAGACATGTACCAACCTGGTCAATACTCTTTTTCAAAATATGGAAATTCAACCATATTAACAGAAATGCTCTCTTTGCAATTCATTTTGTCAGAAAGTTACATACCTGCGGTTGTACGGTGGAGGATGTTAGTCTAAATTCCTCTTTGTCTGTTCTTTGCAAGATATTTTGAAGACGCTAAATAGAGGTTTGTATTTGTCTTGGCTGAATAAAATGTTGTATTTGTCCAAGAATTTGCTTGGCGTCGATTTTTAGGAGTTTTATCAAGTAGTTGTACAGTGTATTTCGCCGTGAAACAAAATGTCACATGATCGTTACATTGTCCTATATTTTCGTGAGTATAATGTCATGTTACTGAATATTTATCATTCGGAATCAAATAGTATCAGTAGGCCTACGCCTTTCTCAGCTGGCAAACCTTGGCTGTGTCACGATCAGATCTCCCCTAGAGATGTTTTCTTTCATCAGGGTTAATTACTGGTTTGAATAACACCAGTTTGCTGTTTTTTATACACGTTTCCATTTTCTGCAAACAGAACCCCTCAAATGAGTCAAATGACGTAGACGCTTCACAACCAACCCATTCTCAAATATTCAACCCGTCAAGGTGGCCAGTGTATACAAAGCCAGAAGTTGGACGAAACATAAGGTACTTATAAGCATGATGACAACATTTTATCATTTTTATGCGCAATAAATTAATAAATTGCTTAAAGGCCTACCAGAATTGCCAGTCATTTAACTTGACGATTCGATGGCAGCAACTTCTTTAACAAAACCGAATTTAGTTTTCATAAATGGCGTCTCATTTTTTTAACTTTATTGCTATGATAATTATATACTATTGGCTGATTTATAAATTTCAGGTTCAACATTTGCAGTGCAGGAAGTAACGCGTTTCTTGGGGCAAGCGCAAACGGCACAGCTCGCAAAGTCTTGCAGCAGGGAGATCCAGAGGGCGCTAACTACTACTGGCCGAACCCCGCCATTTTGTTCTTAGTCTACGATAGGGGCAACCTTAAATTATAACTGTCAAGGATGCAACGGCTTTGCACAAAGAAATAATGCTTGGATTTCACCTGCTTGAAAGATAAAAATTAAACTTGTTTTAGTCAAGGACGAAGATTAGACATTTTTTCTTTATATACTTCAGAAATAGCCTACACTACTTAAAAGAAGTAAACTGTTAATCATGTACTCTCATAGATATATGTATATAACACCCCATTTCCATAGATTTTTAGATCGATCTATCCCTGTGGGGAGTCTCACTAGATTACTGTCAGCTTGGCCGGCTTAAGCGTCTGTCCCATTCCCATAGTACCATCGTTCACGTGGATCGACCCAACTCTGGGGGGGGGGGGGGTCTCTTGCTAAGTGCAATGAGCTAAACTGAATGACGTGTCTCCTCTTTTTCCCAACATTCTCGTATAGACATTTTTCATCTTTTCCGGAAATGGAAATTGCATTGTGGGTAGGGGAGCCCTGCTACGCCGAAACACTTACAGCGGTGCTAAAAACCATGGCTGGGTTTACGTGCTTTTTGTCCCGCTGCTACAATAACAGTAAGCGAGATCGACACATGAGGTTAAATAAGTTCCCAACAAACCCGTTAGAATGAAAAATATGGTAGAAAGAAAGGAAAATATAGCAGGTTTGGATCAAAAGCAGGGCACCGCGTTTGCGCTGAACATTTCGAAGGCGGGAAGAAAAACTATAATATTAGGAGATCAACGGTGCTTTAATAAAAAACAGAAATGCTTAGTTAATCAACGGATATAACGAACTATCGGCAAATAGAACTCGGGGGTAAACAATGCGAGAAAAAAAAACATTATAAAGATCTGAAGAAAAAATTGAAGAATAGGCCGGGGCCTAAAAAGAAAGAAAAGACTTCAAGCATGAGATTATGGAAAAAGAAAGTAAAAGCTGTGAAGTTTTACACGGGGATTCTACTTACAAAAAATTCAAGAACTTTCACGACTTTTTGTGTAACAACAAAGAGAAGGTTTGAAAAGTTTTGTATGTTATATCCTTTTTGTGTGTGTTTTATTGATAAGTGATCTTTTTAAATGTATTAGGCCTATCACAGGTTTTAGTCTCTCATAACCCTTAGTAAGGTGGGTTCTATTTTTTTTAACGTGAGACGTTAATAAAATTTTTATTATTGTGTATCCAGTCCCGTATACGTATTACTGATTTGTACAAACGGGGCTCATATTATCAAGATTAACAGAGATATACGAAGAAGAAAGTAGGCCTACATCGGCTCTTGGTGAACACGTTATCGGCAAAATAAAAAGTTATTTATTTCTGAACTCAGTGACAAGAGAATTGGAAAATTCAATGGGCATATTTTTTACAAAAAAATGCAGAAAAGCCTTTCCGTAAGCTACACGTACATAATACATGTATGGTAAAGACAAAATGGATAATAAAAATAATCTAACAACGTATTTGTAAAGTAATACAAATATGCTTAGTATTAAAGTAGGCCTACGTATATTTAACTGTCTTAGATAGTTGAAAAGTATTAAATGTGTGGAAAACACTTTATTTGAATGATTTTGTTGTCTTTGATTGAAAACAATGAAAATACGCATAAAAACATTTAAAAATCAAATAATTTGGCCTCTTGCTATAATTTTGTATTTGCCTGACGGTTTTGTTTCAGTTTGACAAAATTTCCATACTTGTCAGACCGAAAGTCTGACATTTTTACCTGTCGTAAATTTTGAACATATAGGGGAGACCGGGGCTAGTTGGACCCCGGGGTAAGTTGGCCCCCCGTCAATTTATGAAAAAGTAACTACGAGGTAAAAAAATTGGCCACATACTCTTGTAAAGTGACCGTAGCCTACAATGCTAAGGAAGTGTCGGACGTTAAAAAGTTTTACTTAAGCGGTGAGTCGAAATAAACGATTTTTGCACCTAAAAGTAATTTTGTTTAAGAGATTTAAAAATCTATTTTCATAGGCTTTTGATCGAATATAAGATATGTATATTGCATCAAACTGAAGCTCATTGTTTCAAGTTTCACAGAGATGTATCATCGTTGTTCATTCTNGGGGCCAACTTGCCCCGTGGCGGGGCAAGTTGGCCCCCCTGACGTCAACTGCGTTTTTTGTCAAATTGTGAGCCATCTGGCATTATATTTGAAAAATAATGACGTTGCATACGTAGCTTAGTTCATGGGGCTTACTTTGAAAAAGGTTTTGTTACTCTAACCCATTCCTAGTTGGCTCTACAAGGCAAAAAGTGTCTGACTGGGCCAACTAGCCCCGGTTTCCCCTACTACAGTAAGACACGGTAAACTTTAATTATCTTCTGGGAAAGACTCGAGAATTCCTGTCTCACCTATTTAACACTTAAAATTAGAAGGTTTTAATTACAGAGGAAAGGTCGTAGTTGTGGCTGCCCCCCTTACAGAACAATTGATCAAGTAACACCTGATGCCTTATCAGGTACCAAACGATTTAATCAGTTCATCGACGAACGATCTGCGTGTCAGTTTTACCTGTATACACAGTAGGTACGAGTCAAACAATGCAGGAAATCTTTTCATTTTATCATTTTAAAAATCTCTTAAGACATCCTTCAAACAAGACATAAAAATCGTAAAGAATTGACACTGCCGGTAAATGAGGTGATATCGCCACAGCTTGCATATATACATGCAATATTGTGAAGACGTAGGCCTACGCACCTGTCCACACTCTTGAAAGCTGTGTACGAGTCTACTGGCTATTTTGATTTTATATATAAGAAAATAACGAGTCCCTTTCGCATATCTTTATTATCGGAAGCATTTAAAAGAACTCTGAAGCTTTAGTTTGTCATCACTATTGAAAGTGCAGCCAAGGCTCGGACGCTTAGGTGAAGTCTAGTTGTACAGCGCATCGTATTTAAACTGAGAAAGAAAACGTTTAATTGCTTATTCTCCGCCCAAATAGCTGTTTCTTGCCTACAGTTTACGCATTTCTGTGCTTCAGCCACCTTTTTAGTTTGACAGAAAGCAGTGCACGCTTCAAACGACCTTTTTATATGCGCACCTTGTACATCATCTACACCTAGCATTGCCATTGCTGGAAACAGCAGAGGACTACCATGACCCCTGTGGCGCGCGGTTCCTGTCATGCGCACTTCGTATTTCCGCAAAAGATGAAAAGGTTAATAATCACCAGCTTTTCTGTATTGTACTTAACGTCAGGAGGAGGCGTGCCATTGCAGACAGCGAGGTCCTTGCAAAGTAGGTTCGATCCATGTAGACTATGGCGTCTATAAGAAGGGGGCCTTATAGTGGTGAAGGTGTATCTTATAATATACCGGTGCCTGTAGGTTCATGACATTATGTCGTCTGATGACCAGTGCACTACACTGTAAGTGAGACTGCAATGTCTAATATCAGCGATGAGAGTTTGCCCCTATTTTTGGTCCATGATTGCCATTCACTAAAGGGAATACATTTCACGTGCATTAATTTTATTTAATATATATATATATATATATATATATATATATATATATATATATATATATATATAGGGTAGACCGGGGCTAAACGCCCCCCTTAAGCAAGAAACATCACAATTTTCCCTGCTGGAGGTATAGACCGTTCAAAGTGGGTGTTAACTATGAAGGGCTGACTAGACTACAAACTGATACTAACACTTTTGGAAACAAACAAAAGAAAAACCTTATAGGTAAAAAATAGGTAAATTATAAAATCGGCCTTTTTGCCCCATGGCTGGGGCATTACGCCTCGCACCACGGGGCTTAACGCCCACCGTGGGCGTCTTGCCCCAAACTATAGGCGTTATGCCCCGCCTTTGTACAAAGCAAAATAAAATCAAATTATATTTCTACGAGACAACTTAGTAAGCCTTTAAAAGCAACATATAATATTTTGGG